ATATAATATCTCCTAATCCTCCATTTTTAACTTCTCTATGTCTATGGACCCAAAGATTAAAAATATTACTTAGAAAGCAAAGAACCTCCCTTTCTCTTATTTTGCAATCCCCTTAACCCCTTCTGAGATGAATTTTTTTACCCCAACAACAGTTAAAATGATATTCTCTCTCTCTCAAATCGCGGTCTCTCATAGCGCCCTCTCTCTCTCAAAAAGCACCGTCTCTCTCTCTCTCTCTCTTTCCCAATCAAGTAAAGATCCCTAAGATTGCCATTTTGCTGGCAGAGAACATGGGACACCATAATCGACGCAGCCAAACCTTTCTTCATGGCTTGTTACGTATTTTCTGGGTCAAAAAAGTTAGGATTTTGCTTGTAGGATCTCTTTTTTCAGGGTTAAAACTGTTTTAAGACTTCTGTGTCAAACTGGTGAGGTGCTCTCCATGGCTTTGCAAGAAGGGTTTTTTGTGGGTCGCAATGGTCACAATTTTGCTTCTTGGGTCTCTCCTATCAGTGTTTGACTAAGTATCAAAGAGGCATCACCGTGGCTGCAAAAATCAGCTTCTATATTTTGGAAAGTTGGGTTTTTTGCATGATAGAAAATATTAGTATTTTGTTTGTTTGGTCTTAATCCTTCAGGGCTTAATAAAAGAATTTTGTGGCTGAAACAGCAAGCGCCATTGTTGAATCAGCCAAAGCTTTTTTTTGGTTCTCAAATTTTAGGGTTTGGTGGATAGACTTGGTTAAGTGTAACTCAGCATTTTGGTTAGCAAAAGAGAGAAAGCGATGGCAGAGGTTGAGAGAGGGGCAACAGAGTCGTGGACCGACTGTTGGTGACGGAAATGAGGGCTTGGTTGCAGGTAAGATGGAAGAAAGGGGGGTGACGCCTAGTTGTAGATTTTGGGCATAGGATGAAGGAAGAGAGATGGACAAGGATGGGAAAAAGGGAGCAGCAGCAGGGGGGCCGCAACAGGGGATGGATTTGTTGCAGTTGGTGATCATGGCTTGGTTGAGAAGATGGGTAAAACGCGGATGGTTGCTGCAGAGGTGGAACAAATAGGTGGAAATGGGGGCCAGGCCGCAGCTGGTTGAGAGGGATGGCAGAGAGAAAGAAAGTGCAGTGGGGTGCCCGTTGGTTTTTCTTTGCTGAGCTAGTGTTCTTTTTTTTGTTTCAATTTGGAAATTTTTCGGATAGAAGATGGCCGGATTTGTCACCGGATTTTTCTCTTCTCTCTTCTCTCTATCCTCTTTTTCCTCACGCCTCTCAATCAGCTGTCGCTTCCCTTAACCGTCGCAACTGTCGCACATAACAAGCCCACCATTTCTGTCTTCTTCCCACGACCTCCCATCTGCTCTCTCCTCAGCCGCCGCACGCAACAATAGTCACCCTCTCTGAACCTCTAACCCTACTCTCTCTTCCTCCTCTGCCTTCCACTCTCCACCATCTCTCCATCTCGAGCCTCTCTCTCACTATCTCGCATTCTTCACCTACTCTCTCTCTAAAAAAACCAATGGGCACCCCACTGCTGCGAGAGGATTTAATTTTGAGAAGAATTTTTTACTCCAATAAAAACTAAAATTACATCCTCTCTCAGCAGTGGGTTGTAAAATAGGAAAAATAGAAGTCATTTGCTTCCAAGTAATATTTTTCATCCTTAGGCCAAAAAGATAGAGAAGTTAAAAATAGGGGTAAGGAGATATTTTCCCATATATATATATATATATCAAAACCAACAGGGTCCTAGCACACAAGTAGCCCTACACTAGTGGGCAGAGAGTCTTGCTTCGGCCAACCACACCCAAAGGTCACAAACAAGAGTTCCCACTAGTGCTATGCCTGATCTGCTTAGGGCAATGACTTTGATACCAAAGATAGCGGAAGAAGGATAAAATAAAAATACATAAAGAATAAAGAGTAACATTCATAATACCATTGATAATAACATTGATTTATAATAACAGAAACAGAGGTGCAAGATTTACGGAAGTAAAACAGAGATATGCATTTACATGAAACTCAAAGCAGAGGTGAGTGGCAGAAAACTGACTTGAAGTACTCACAGTAATCGCTCAAATTTACTACAACAATAACTCAAAAAGCACTTGCTTACAAAGTATTAAAACCCTAACTTATAATATTCAGAAGGGAAATCCCAAGGTGTGTACTTCTGAGGCTTGGTCCTCCTTTTATAGAAGAGGGGAGGGCGGACTTCAAACGTTCTTAAATCCGCACCGACAAGGTAGGATGCCTTTTCTTTCAAGTAAAAGTAAAAAGTAGGGTAAAAGCAAAGGTAAAGGAAAGATTCTTGTCGGCTTTTTACTAGAGCAACAATGTTTTTTGTTGGCAATAATG